TTATGGACTGCGTCTGGCACGAGTCCTACCAAGTTCATGCCATCAGATGTATGGAATCTTCTTCAAATACGATTCTGCGACATCACTGTTTGGTCTGTTGGCATATTTGGTTCTATTTTGGATGGTGATTTTTCTTCTACTGTTGAATTTCTTGCTGACACGAGACAAAAAGGGGGCTTCATTGTTATAGGTTTGGATATAAATTCTCTATTTGGCGTCTTAACTGTAGTTTTACAACTTGTGAGCAGACAGTTGTTCAACACAGAGAATGCACATGAGGATGCACTACTCAAGTTCATAGGTGCACTTGCTAAAACTTCAGTTCATTACACTACACTAGTACATGTTGTTTCTGCTATTCCTTTGGCGCTGAGTTGTAGAGAGTGTGCTACCATCTTTTTCGCGCTTAACAACTCAATCCCAAACAACAACCTTGGTCATATTGCTAGGACAAGGATCATGGAATTTAGGGAGGTACTTGGTGCTGGTGCCGATGCTGAACTATGTGTGTTGGAATCTCATGCTGGTGGTTCTTTCACGGTTACAAGGAATGGATTTGGTGACAACCTTGGCAGGGGCACAAAAATTGCAGTAATTAAGTCGACAGTTGAACAGCATGAAGGTGTAGAAATTTTTTTTAACATCTTTGCATTTATGGTGGCACAGTTGCATATGCAGGAAGGCACCAATTGCATTTTCTCACAAACATACAAAAGGGTATTGGACTTGGATGTTGCCACGGTGAATGCTACGTTTTCCATTAGCGAAGTAGTCTTTCCAATATACTTTACAAGGGAGTACTTAGCAACTACTTTGGAAATGAACTGCCACATCTTTTATAATGACATGGCTTCTGTGAAAACAAATTGGTCGAAGCAATTTCATCGCCAGTATGCTCCTGTACTTGACACATATACTCTTGTTTGGTGTGAGTTACGCAAGAATTCTTTTGACTTCGGGAATTTCATTGATGAGCAGAACCTATTTGATGGCGTTTATATTCTTGACTTGAACCTTGAGGACAAGGTTCTTTTTTAGGGCAGGAGTATTGTTGTAAATCAAGCTCACTCAATAAGGGCCTATGGGCTAGAAGTGGTGAATGAGACTGAGTCAGTAAGGATTATTGGGCTCGGTGAAATATTAGAGAGTTTTATTTGGGATCTAGGCCATTTAGAAAATGGTTAAAAAGGCCGAACAGTTATAGAGAAGGGATTATGCGTATTGTGAAGAAAAATGTCTGTTACTCTCGACCCCTTTCTCTGAGTCTAAGCTTCTCATCTCCCCTTCTTTATCTCTAATCCTTAGCTACTTCTACATTCCGGTATTTCTCATTGTAATTCAGTAGTTACTGTTGAATTATTATCCAAATCTGTAATTGAGTTCTATTTCATATTAATATAGTAAGAAGTTTGTCTATTTGTTACAAGGTGCCTATGAACGTTTGGAGTAATAATTGTTGAACTTATAATTTTTACAATAGCATAAATAGGGAAATATCAAAAAAAGGAGAAAAAAGATAAATAGGATCCTTGGCCAAAGAAAGGTGCCAAGTCACCTTTTTAATTTCCTCCTTTATATATATATATATATATATATAATATCCCTAAACTATGGTATATAGCTCAGTTATGTCCTCCGTTAGTAAACTGGGCCAAAAAAATCCTCCCCGTTAGAAAAATAGGCCACTAATGCCTTCAACCTAACGGCTCATTCCTATCAGCACTTTGTATCCTACATGGCATCCACATAAGCCATGACATGGCAGCCACATAAGCGGGCCATTTCATAAACCCGCTCCAGTTCCAAATAAGCGGATTCCAAATATCAACGCGAAGGCAGAAGACCCCCATTTCCAAACAAAAACCTAAGTTCTTCCATATCTGTTCTTCCATGGCGATTTGAGAGGTGAGGGGATGACAAAATCGAGCAAGGTTTAACAACACAAATTGAAGATCAAATTTCCACATTTCTGCTCCAATTTTTGCTCAAATTTTCACATTTCTGCTCCAATTTCTGCTCAAATGTCCACATTTCTGCTCAATGTCTGATTTATCTGTGAATGCGCATGAAATTCAATATGCAAGAACGTGTCGTTGTGGATTGATTGCGCTATATTTGACAGCTTGGTCAGATGCCAATGCTGGGAGAAGGTTCAACAAATGTCCAAGATCCAAGGTTAGTTTTGAATTTATTTTATTTTTGGTCGATTTATGGGATTCATCTTCTTTTGTCGAGTTAGGTCATTCTTGATTTTTATTGTTTATGTACAAAATCAGAACTGCTGTAATTTCTAATAATGGTGTAGGTTAGTTCTTGTGGGTATTTTGAATGGATTGATGAAGAGCTCCCTCGTCGAGCGGTGATGGTGATCAAAGATTTAAAAACTAAACTTGATGCTGCTAAGGTTGAGAGGAACAATTTGAGGAATAAAATTTACCTTATGGAACAAGCTACGATGGTTCAAAGGGGATCTAAGAACTTGTTTGATGAAATGGAAGAT